TCTTCTTGATAAGTTCTGTAAGTGATCTTATAATATCTAAGAAGTTTCATATAAATCACTGATAAAAGTTAGTAAATTCAATGACGCTTTATACATTCTTTATAGTATATGAAGCTTTTCATTCAAGAATAGTGAAGATCTTCTCAGAATTCATTTAAACTTTCTTATCAGCTTCTATGATAAAACCTAGATATTTCATACTCTTAATCTTGAAATCACACTTATCAATATCTATTAATAGTTCTGCTTTTTATAATTATTATAATACTCTTTAAATATACTCTTGATATTCTTTTCTGAACTCTTCAGTAAAGATGAGAATATTATTAAGATAAGCAGATACAAACTTATTAAGAAAATCTCAGAGTGCTCAGTTGATATACTTCTAAAATATACTAAGAGTGTTAATCAATTCAAAAGATGTGACTACTTATTCAAAAAGATTATATTATATTCAGAATGCTGTAATCTATTCATCTTCTTCAGTAATACAGATCTTATGAGAAGTGATAATAATATTTAGCTTTGTAAATCATTAAGCTTGTTCAATATGAGTTAGAGTTTCATTGATAAGAGATAAGAAGTAGCAGTCTTTCTTTATTAATCTGTTCAGTTCTTAATAGTTTATACAGAATCAGAGTTCTTCATCTGATTTCTTTATAAAGAGAATAGAAGCTGCAGTAGAAGAGTTACTAATATATATAAATTTCTTATTTAACAGATTATTGAGTGTCTTCTGAAGAAGAAGAAGTTCATCTCAGAAGATATTATAAAGAAGATCTCACAGTGATTTGAAATTCTTATTATTTTTCTTTTCTAACTTGATACTGTAATTCACTTCTGAGTCTCATAAAGAGAGTAAATTTGTAATGTTGTCTTATCAGAAGACATCTAGATATTCATGATATTATTAAGAGAGTTTTGTATGAGAATCTGTTGTTGTAACACAGAATAACTAATCTTCGCTTGCATATGAGTATAATGGAAGAATAATAATAATAATAATAATAACACAGAATAACTTTTCTAGAGCTTTTTTAATATCAGTCAGACTGATAAAGTAGATTGATATATAATTCTGCTATCAGTGACTTTGTCAGAAGCTCTTTCACAGCATTTCATATACATTGACAGAGATCTGTGTAAGATTCATAGTCTTGTGAATATCATCTTCATGAATTTAATCTTTATTAGAGAATATTAAACTCCTGTTTTAAGCATTCAATAAAATGTCTTATTCAGATAGTCAGACAAGTTCTAACATAAGATTATAGTCAAGATTATTAACTTCATATGTATAAGCATCTTCATATTAATATTCTCTGACATCTATGCTTAGTTTTATCATGTAAGAGATGTAAATATCTTTTGAATTATTACATTCTGTGAGAAGTCAGGGTCTTGATAAGAGAATACACTGAAGATTACAGTGTCTTATGACTGAAGATTTAATCATTGCATAGTGACATAGACTGCTGTCTATCATGACTTTTATATTATACATATTATTCATTATAGTAGATACAAGAATTGCATTTATTATCATTTTCTCTTCAAATTATTATTGTCTGATCTCTTCGAGCTTCTGCTTGTAAATTTGAACAGAAGCTAATCTTTTCTCTGTTTCACAGAGATATTCTTATAGTTATCTTTCAAATCTTCTTCTAATGTAATGTGTTTGATATGAATCACTGATATTGATCTTTCTTTTGAATGAGAAGGCACATAGACTAATTAGTAGTTAAAAGTGATATGTTCTGATCAGTTACAATTAATACACATTTCTTATTGATATTGATCAGCGACTTGTTCAGAAGCAATTCTGAGAACTCAGAAGATTGTTTAAGTGACAGAGACTCTTATTTATACATAGATATTTGAGTCTACTTAATTTATAATATCTGTATTATTGTTATTCTTTGATGCAGATGTATGAGTGACTGAGATGTAATATCTTCTATCACTGTTCTGTTTACTCTTAAGCTTAGTGAGACAGTTATTCAATGTCTGAAGTTATATGCAGAAGCCTTCATAAGTCTGATCTTTGTCTACACTTATAAGAGTCTGTAGAAGTTTGAAAGTTAGTATCTTCTTAAGCCTGCTAATCTTCATTCAATTCTCTTAAGATTAATCATCTGCTTCTAGAATCTTGATGTTGAAATTAGAAATGAATGTTATGAGAGAAGTATTTCTCTGTCAGACACTCTGTAATCAATCTAATACTTTCTGTTATATAGCAGTGTCTCAGAACAGAATATCAAGATATTTGATAATATTATCAGATGTATATAACATCAGTTCACATATCTTTATTCATAAATGAAACTTCTATCTAGCACAATCTTTCAATTAATCATTGATATATCAATCTTGATTAGTTAATGAACTGATGACATCTTTATCTACACTTAGTTTTGTAAGCATTTTCAATCTTTATAATGAATAGAGAGTGAGATCAGAAGTATTGAAATATGCAGAAGTATTTAGACATTTCTTCAGTGCTTATGTCATGTTCATATCTGATTCAGTCAGTGTTGAAATTGCTTATGCAGAGATTTCTAGTTAAGATAATTATTGAATTTTCTCATATTAACATTATTGAGTTGCATGCATATCAGCTATCTATTACTGTTATAATTTCAATATTGCTCAGAGTCACTGTGACACTGTATCTATACTTGTGTTCAAGAGTTTTTCTGTATTATCAGTAGACATATCATTCATCAGATATGTGATATCTGTGAAATCAGAAGAAGTGTAATCATATGAATATCTCATACATCTAAGATATTAGAACTCTCAGGTCTTTCACTAACATTCTCTTGTGAGATCTTATTCTCTTTGTGAGATCTTATTACAGAGTCAGAGAAACTGATAAGCAAACTTCTATTTAGAGACTCAGTGTCTGTTTAACTAATTATTCATTTCTCTATTTCTTACATATTGTTATACATTCAGATATCTTCTCAATAAGTAATTATTTCTAATAAGAAGATAATGAACATTTTTCAAGTATAAGAAACCTACACTAAATAGATCAGTATAATATATATAGGTCTTATAATACAAAAGTGAAAAACATTAGAGAAGGAAAAAAGAGAAAGTACAGAAATCAGTGATCAGAGTAAATATTTATATACATATGCAGTGAAGCTTCAGAGTGAAAGAATAGAAATTTTGTGTATATAGTAAAGCTTCAGAGTGAAAGAATAGAAAAAATTCTGTGAGTTTTTCAGTTAAGAATCAGTGACTGAGAATTGAAGCTTTCAGCGAAATCTATGAAGTGTAATGAAATAGTCTATATAATTGATCAGGCGTAGCTTGTCATATGTACTATTATCAGCTTCTAAGGTCTTAATAGTAGTTTAAATGTTATTAATAAGGCTTGACAGTATACATTTATGTAGAGACTTAAAACAGATCTTTCACTTCTCAGAATTGATATAATATATAAAAGAAGATTTTTATTAAGTCTTTAATAAGATGTTAGTTTTATCAATAATCTCTGTATTAGTTAATATACTAATATATCAGATCTTATAATTAAAACTGTTAAATATAATCACTGATTTTAATATTTAGAGTATATTTAACTTTCTTCTAATATTTTCATAACTTATCTCTCAGAGTATCTCTTGAGCTTTATACAGAGATAAATATAGTACGATAATATATAATTTCAGCTACAGTTAGTTAATTTCAGAGCATTATCTATATAAGATTTATAAAATTATCTATGATATAATAGATGAGTTAATTCAGATAATTATTAAAAGTACGCATTTTATAAAAAAGAAGAAAGAGAGTGAAAAATTTATTAAGTTAAAATAAATAGATTCTGCAGATGAATATAAATATTAATACTACTTTTCTTTATTATTATTATTATTATTATTATTCTTTCATTACACTTATATACAAGCAGAGCTTATGATAAGTTCTTATGTAATGTTAAATACAGATCAAGTGTTGATTATACAGAAGAAAATACAGATATTAAGATTACATATAAATAACAAGAATATAGAAAAATATAAAGAAGTGATAATTAAATACATATAATAATAACTTTTCAGCTCAGAAACATAGAGTAATTTATTGAAGTGATTTATACATCTCTGTATTTATTAGAAATCTGAGATGCTTGAGTTTCAGATTTAATATATTCTCTGCAGATTTTAAACTCACATGTCTTGATTTCTCATGTCAAGATGCTACTGAGTGACTGTATTAATTATTCAGCTATCAGAGCTACTTTTCTTTATTCTAAAGTACTTTTCTTAACTCATTATTGAATTTCATACTCTGATAAAAACTAATCTCACTCTTATTCTACAACTTAGAATTCTTTTTATAATAAGTAATTATTTCATTAATAAGTTATTTAGAGAAATGAGTGATTCTGAGTCTTGAGCTAAACCCTAAAGTAACAGATGTGCCTCAGTGACTGAATAATTAATGCAGTCACTCAGTAGCATCTTGGCATAGAAAATCAAGATGCATGAGTTTGAAATCTGCAGAGAATACATTAAATTCAGAACTCAAGCACCTCAGATTTCTAATAAATACAGAGATGTATAAATCACTCTAATGAATTACTCTATGTTTCTGAGCTGAGAAGTTATTATTGCATGTATTTAATTGTCACTTCTTTGTATTTTTCTATGTTCTTGTTATCTTGATGTGATCTCAATATCTGTATTTTCTTCTGTATAATCAACACTTGATCTGTATTTAACATCATGCAAGGACTTATCATAAGCTCCGCTTGCATATAAGTATAATGAAAGAATAATAATAATAATAATAATAAAGTAACAGATGTATTACTTATATTAAGATAACTTCTTCTTTTAAATATGTAAAAACAGATACTGTTCTTTACAATGAAGAATGTATTTTTGAAAAGAATATAAATCTATTAATCAGTGAATTCAGAGAAAATAAAATATCTTTAGCAAAAAGTAAGAGTCTTTCTGAAAAAGATGAACTACTTTCATCAAAATATTGATGCAATGTTTCTTAAAAAGGAAAAATGTGCTATTCAGTCTATAATCTGTAGAATAGTTAAAGGTTGTATTGATAGAGCTATCTACAAAGAGCTTAATATAGTGGTCGGTCATGTGATCTAGGGAGATCGCCACAGGCAATAGCCGCAACGGCCGCAACGGCCAACATTTTCAAAGCTAAATTACCTGAGTTATCACATTAATAACACAAACTAAATTCAGCTTTATATAATTTTTGTGAACGCAAATCAATTGAGACAAAATTAAAAATTATATAAAAACAATTTAAACAATAAAAAATACAAATCCTAGATAAAAATACGACATATCAGGAAAAATAAGCTGAAGTATTTAACACAAGCGGTGCAACGAGCGAAGACAATAGTGTAGGAGATAGAGATTAACAGAGGATGAAAACACAAAAATGCGAGAAGCGTATTCAAATGTCCACTGGTACTCGACGATATGCCAAAGTAAGGCCGGGACACAGGTATATATACATTTTGAAATGAGTTGACAGTCGTATTATTTATTATCTCGGATCGTGGCTATGATTTGATAGCTGTCACGGCAAGGGGCGTTTATGCGGGTGTGCTTCGGTATTGCTAAAGACAGAGGGGGAAAATATATGGTTAGCAAGGTTTAAAAAGAATTGTAGGGGCTTGGAGGTCCCGAGGAGAGGGTGGGGGGCGAGAAGGAAAAATAGAGCAATATCAACTTACAGGACATATTCATCCAAGCTAACAAGCTCTGGATCACTAAACAGCAAATAGAAATACTTGAGCGTTTCCGCAAGCCAGAACGACTCCATCTCATTCAAGAACATAGGTACCCTGCTCGTGACATCCTTAATAGCCGAATTCCCAAGGTCCGTTCTCGTCGCAGCTTCAACGGCTTGGAACATATTCCATCCTTTCTGCCTCCAGGAGTTATCTCCTGTGATACGATACATGATAAAAACCGACTCGATCGCCTCAGGGCGAAGAATGTATTTTCGCGCTGAGATTGTGGAAACTCCGGGCGGTAGACGATCTTCCTTAATAGTTGCTTCGGCAAACTCCGCATGGGAGAGAAAGGCGGGAACATCTATCTCATTCCAAAAGGGGGGGATAACTGCCGGTGTAGCGATAGCAGCGGTTTCTGCAGTCTTTGGTGGGCCAAGGTCCTGGCGTTTGACGAGTTCCTGAGCGTCTGGCTTCTCACCGGGGGCTCCTGGAATGGATTGTCGCTTCGGCGGGTCAGACTTAAAGCTGGTCGCCGGTTCGTTGGAGCGCATGGACTTTGCGAGCTGCTGAGCATGGTCCGCGACTATTTGGTCATGATACGACTTTCGCTCTTCAAAGTACGGGTCTAGAGCGTCATAGTATCTGGTTTTATTCCATTCACAGGGTTCCAGAGACCCACAAGGCAGCATTTCAAAACTTTCCGGCATAATACCTGTCGTGGTAGATTCATATGCCCATACACAGCCTTCGGTCAGTTTAGCGGCAATGTCTAGATCGCTTTCAATCCCAAAGAGCTTTGCACCAAGAGCAAACATGCCACCTGTAAAACAAGCCAGGTGAGAGCCTTCATATGTGAGCATTAGATCGTCCTTTTCAGTCACAGGCTCTCTCGCGATAGCAGATGCGATGAATAGAATGTCTCGTTTATCCGGTAACATAGGTCTGAATAGAAGATATTTCCTGACCGCATTCATGGACTTCTCATACATAGTTCGGTACTGCTCATTGAGGCCACCCAAAAGTGCATATTGTTTGGGCAAGTACTCGTAAGCGGAGTCTACAAGCCCGCCAAGGGTAAATCTATCTGTTTGAAACTTAGGTGGGGATGTAAGATCTTGGTCTTTGCAATCATATTCACTCGAAGACTCGAGGTTGCCTTTGGCAGACTGGTCATCGTCGGAGCTTGGCTCCGCCCGAAGGGTTGGCAGAGGCTGCGAACCAGGCTTCAGGTTGTAATCTGCAGGTTCTGCGTCGACCAGAATGGGGTCCATTTCCTCCCGCTTCTGAATATGCCTCTCTGGTAATTTAACTTCAGGGACTGTAGGGGGCGTTAAACCAATAGGCAATTCCGCAGGCTGCTTTACGAGTCGCATAATCTTTTTGCAACCGGAAGCATCTATATGTGTTGGCCATAGCCCAGGCAATTTCGTCTTCTCCTGGTACTTTTCAAGCTCATTGGTGATCCATGCAACAGCATTGTAGTATTTCTCTTCCTTTGTAATCTGTGTCAATCGAGTGAATTCAAGCGACAGGGTTCCAATTTCCGCGGTTACAGTCCTAGAACTAGCACGCTGCGGTTGTGACGCATATGCCCTGTAACACAATTTAGTGTGAGAACAGGTCATGGTTCAAATAATGTTAAAGGGGCTAAAGACGGTTAACTTACGGTGCCCAATGGTAGTACGTAACGGGCATTCGATTAGGAGTATCGAATGCACCAATCAATATCTCTGCAAGTTCGACAGCCTTATCGATTAGACATTGATATTTACCTCCCGAGACGTCATAAGCTCCAATAAGGCCGCCCAAGTAGCGAATCACAGTCTCAAAGAGGGGTATATCTTTCCTTGGGCTAGTAGCAAAATCAATCTTGTTGATCGCTTCTACGGCCTCTTCAAACTCATCCACCATGCCCATTATCCAGAGCGTATCCAAGCCATCGACCAACGTGGCGCCCCATCCCGAGAATGGGTTACGGTATCCGCCAAGAACTGGACGCAGCTCGTCATGGCCCCATGCTTCTGCTTTATAGCTCGTCCACGAATGATTGAACGATTGCTTGATCGCGGCCAGTTTCGCCTCGCGATCGGCTTTATCTGCTGGGGACTCTTCTGGAAATTCGAATTGGATCTTGGGCAGCGTCTCGAGCATCCCCTGAGGAAGTTTAATAAGGTCCTCCGGTGCAACCGGGAAATGCTCGGGTTGTTTTTCCCACCGGACATCGCTACTGTCAGGGTTGTTAGCTTCCACCCTCCCTTTACCAGGAGATCCAAACTCGTCGTCCTCCGACGGTGAAAAATGTGGCTTTGTCAGTGGATGTGGTTTGGTTGATTCCTTCTGTGGAGAGCTAGGAACGGACGGCTGAGCTGCAGGGGGCTTCGCTACTGGAGAAGGTGAGGGTAGCGGGTCAGAGGAAGGGATTGCTGTTTTGGATTCCGGTGCAAAGCCATGGTCGTTTGAATTCCCAACGCCGGGTGTTTGCTGGAGGGCCGGCGAACCATTAGGAGACGGGGGTGCCGTTGGAGGTGGAAGGGGCTTCTGTTTTTCTACAGGTTCGTTAGAGAGCGTGGGGGGGCCAGACCAATCACGGATTCGAAAGAAATGAACGAAGACAACAACGCTGATGATGGCGAAGACCACAAAAACTCTGTATCGACGGAGACGAAGCATAATGAAAGCAGGAGGCAGATTATGTTATTGATTAAGTTGAGGCAGCCTGTAAGGTCGTCCTCCTCCTCTGTCGTCGACTCGGGCATCCAGAGGATGAAAAGGAGCCCCTGGCGGTCAATTATCTTAATTACCTAGAGGAAAGATATGTCTCTGGTAGATTCTTCAAGATCAGCTAGCCGGCCCATTGCACATCAATATAGCAGTTGACGTGAAGCCGAGAAATAGAAATCGTTGGACCCTTGTTGTTCGTTGCTCCTCCTCCCGTTTCATTTCAAGCACATGTCGCCGAGATGCGGCTCAGCCTGTTCAGCCGCCAAGAACAAACAATATATTGGGTTGACTAACTAGCGCTGTCGATCAGGAAATTATCCATGAAATATGCGCGATACATGAGGATCACGAGACGAGATGAGGAAACCAGATGAAGAAACTCGGGACGTCTTTCAGCCCTGTGTTAAATTCTGTCCAGGCCCTTTACCCTGAGAAAGTTTGACAGGATTCTACAACAACACGTGTTATTTGACTCTGCCAGAATAAAGAGCTACAGTAGTTTGTGCATGGGTTTTAAAAGCACCACGCCTAGATAATAAATGCTTTATAGACTGACTTGAGTCACTTGATTATGATTTCTTAAACCATATGTCCACAGCCACAGCCATACCTATGAGGCATATATATATGTTTATAAATGTATAAATCTCCAAAATTCGAATAGAACCACAACACTGTCCTTTCATTGCTGTCCATCCCAAAATCTGTTTCAACGTAAATAAATCAGGCAATACAAAATTGAAAAAAATAAATAAAAATAAAAATAAAAAATAAAAAAAGCCAACATCAACGCTACCCACGTTAAAATATAAAGTAAATAAACAGGCACAATGGGGACATAGGATTTATGTATAATAACTAGGACTAGGAGCAGTGGGGTGGGAGAAAAATGAATTGTACGAGTCGGGGAGTGGGAGAGTATATGTGGAACGAGTAAGACGAATATGGGAGTTGGCTAAGGTAGTATAAGACCATATAAGACCATATTCCAGGAAGCTTCCTCTGTTGTCTTCTGTGGCCTGAGCCTTAAAGAAAGGATGAAACCAGGGAATAGAAGTTACCACTCAAATACCGACAGCCCCGCCACCGCGTCCATCATTGCTGACTTTTTGGAACTGATGGATCAACCCAAGTACGCCCGCACCCCCGACGACATCTTGGACATTTTCCGTTTCTTCATCAGTTTCACCCTCACCATCGATGATATTCATCCGCCAAGACTCCTCCATACGACTATCGTCAGCACCGCTAGATCCCGTTGTCATATTGGAGGAGGGATGTCTGTGAAGACCTGGGAGAATCTGACTGGTACCGGATGGTTCATCTTCATCTCGAATTGTATCGTTCATGGGATGAGCCTGGCGTGATGGACGGTACTGGGATTGTGCGACGTTTCGGTTTTGCGGACGGAAGCCTGACGTTGATGGTTGGTGATGCGGATCTAGAAGAACTGAAGCGAGTGGTGAGTTGTGCGCACCAGCTGCAGCCGCGACACCAAACCTGGGAGTTCGAGGTGTTATAGAGTGCCCGCCGGCATGGGATCCTACAATGTTTGGTCGGGTAACAGATCGTTGTTGTGCGTCCCATCGGTATTGTCGACCAGTGCCCATGTAATTTGCCTCGGGCATCATAGGAGGGGATGTTAGGGCAGGAAATGAAGGAGGAGGGTGGAAACGGCGTCTGTTTGGAGCGTGGATATATGGAGCACCTGGTTGCGGATTGTTGGCGTAGTTGTCTAAAAAGCCATAGTATGACGCCAACATCTTTCCATCTTTGGTTGAAAAATAATCATTTCGAAGATCCCGTTGACCAGCATCTTGGGCACCGCCTTGTTGGGTATCCTGATTTTGGGGAATGACATTGGTGCCTTTCTTAAAGTCGAACACAGCAAATGAACAAACATAACCAAGCCCATCCACATGTACCGTGAATTCGCGGAAAAAGTCTATCAGCCGGTCACTGCACTTTGGGAGACTGAACCACAACACAAACGGTATGAAGATTATGCTGAGAAGCTCTTCAAGGAAGATGAGCACTTTCATCTGGTAGAGCATTGCGAACTCTGCTTTTACTTCGTCGCTATGCAGTTTGCCCTGCCAATGCGCTGGCTGATAATGAGTGAAGTCTATCACCTCTCGTAAAGCAAATTCGGGATCGAAGACTAGGGTCTCTTCAGGTACAAGTCCTCGCGCCACTGCCCACACTGTTCCCGTCACACCGAGATAGAATAGTACAGTTCGATCGTGGGATATTTCGAAGCCCAGGAAAAGCTCCGGATCGACAACGGAGGCGAGTGCAAGAACTGATGCCAATGCACCAGCAATAAATCCAACAAAGCGTGCTATTTGGACCATTTTGTCCTTCGGGAACTGGTCGATATATCGAGTCGCAAATGGGTAGGACATGTTGATTCGGCGTTGGAATAAATGTCGCAGCTCGTTAAATTCACGAAATTTCCACTCCGCTAATGGGGTATATTGGCGCGAGCCAATTTGGGAAGGATTTTTTTGATATTCGTTGAAATAGCGGAAAAAATAGTGCATCATGAAGTAGATGAGGAAAAAAGGGGCAATAAATATATTCAAAAGTCCACTAATGAGAAATCGTCGTCTTAATCCGTCACTCAAAGCCTTCCGATGAGTGTCTTTAAGAAATAAGGTTCTGACCTGACCCTGATCGTTGAACACATAATCCAAAATACAAAAGTGAAGGTTCCATTCCAGAGTCCGTGAGAAAAGTTGTCGGTTTCTGAGAAATGGAATCGGAAGCGTCAGGTCCAAGATATCCTTATTGAAAAGTGCAATAAGGTAATTGTCCTTCCTCATCAAGCGGTTGGCGATGTCGTGAGCGTCCATTCGTTGTTTTGATTGGCTACCCAAAAATTTCCTATTCCTCGCAGACACAGCTCCCGCGGTTGACGGATTTGAATCGCGAAGTGCCATCAATCGACTCACAATCTCCTGCCATGATATCGTTTGAATATCGGTATCCGAAATACCTAGAAGGTAGTGATAGAAATCGTGCAAATGATAGAGTCGTCGCAGGTCTAGTAAGTATCGAACGGCTTGATAAATCCAGAAAATTGAAAAGAGCCATAGGAGGAGGGTTGAGGAGGCGGACATTTTCCGAACGCACTGGGGGACAACGATTTCCGTCATGGTTTTGCTGTTGGGTACACGTCGATAATCGATGCAACTGGTTAGGAATACTGTAAAACCTACTACGAATGCCAGGGTCCTAAGAATCTGTTAGCCACTTCAGCTTGTCTGGGTGTTGGACTAGATGAGATGAAAATGAAAATCTCGCACTAACAAAAGGTTCAAAACCCGGCTTAAGAAAATGGACTTTATCCCATTGCCTAGAAAATAGTCATACACGTCTGCTAGGAAATTATCCAAATTCTCAACATTGGCCCATCTCCACATAGCTTTTTCTTTTGGGTCAACGAATGCCAGACCCCGACGCTGGCCGCCAGCTCGAGGAGGAGCGGGAACTATTCTAGGGGGTATAGGGTGTATGGGCTGATGTGCTCTCGCGCTATCCCAGCGATTTCGAGTGCCTTGCGTCGATAATGGAAGAGGATCATCATTATCATGGATGTTGCGGTTCGGAGGACGATGGGGAGGGGGAGCAGCGAGGCCCTGTGTGCCAACGTCATCGTCATCCCCTTCCACTAGCAACGAAGCAGGAACGTCATCATCATCTCTATCGTCTTCCATCGGTCTCGGGGATGAGAGTGTCCATTTATGGCGATTAGCTTTACGTGGAGTTTTGGACTTCCCTGGAAACCCTTGAGGAGCCTTGCGGGGGGGCTGTTGTAGGGACAGTGTGCTTTGAGTCGTTGACTGGGTGTCTGAGGCTGTTGCCAACGCTTCTTCTAACTCATAGTCCTCATAGGGACCTCTAAGGTTCTCTTCGTCCAGTGACATCCCCGCCCGTTCCTCAATATCAGAAGAGTCCGAATTCTTGTCGTACTGTTGTATAGTTTCATAGATGGAGGGCGAGGTGGTACTATTGGCGGGGAGGAAGCGGGAAATGAGGTTCGAGGTCATGATCAAATGGACGGAGCTGACTCGAGCAGCCGGCACGGACACAGTTGGTAGAGGAAGACAATATCCGAATCATGACTATAGCAAAATCAATAGCAAGCTTAGTTTAAATATGATCGTTAGCTTTGCCTGGGAGCCTGATAAGTTGCACGAGGTCGATGATGAGGTCTCGGGGCATGGGCTTGAGAGATGACATATGAAGTGCCTAGAAGCTTGGGGCGAGAACATACAAGCTAATAATCGGGGAGAAACTAGCTAGATTATTAACGTAATCAACCACCTAACGCTCGTTTCCAGCTAACACTCGCCTTTGTAAATCAATTACAATCAACTTCAAATGTTCATATCTCAATGAATATTCATTTAAAACTATTCTAAAAAACAGAATAATAATTTGTAGATATATATTATATTATATTAAATTTGTATAAGAAAATAATATACAATTATTAATCTATTACACTTTTTAAAATACTATTTTAAAATAAAATACACAGTTTATATTTATTAATATATTTATAAATATGAATTGTTTTTATATAAAAATTAAATATCTTATAGATTATATATATCTTTAATAAAATTTTATATTTTAAAATATTATTTTTGTAATAACTATGTATTATTTATACTTTAAAATTGTAATTTAAATAAATTATTATATCAAATTATTTAAATATATTTATATTTAATAAATTATTTTTTAAAATTCAAAATTTCAAGAATTTTCAATATTTTACTTGTAATTTATTAAAAGAATTATTCTTATCAACTGCTTTATCACAAACTCACTCAATTTTTTGAATAAGAACTCACTGATAGATTCATCAAAAAGCTCTCAATTATACAAGTATTTTGACCTTATCACTGACTGCATACCCCATGTGGTGATGGAGTTATCTAGTCAAACATAAACCAGATGTCATTCAAAACTTCTGTGTGGAATTATCTGCTGTTCATTTCTATCACATCACAACCCTAAGTCAAATTGTCATGCAAATTGTAAGATGAAGAGACCTAGTCATATGCATCAATCTTCTTACTTTTGAAGGATTTCTAACCTGTAATTGTGAAGATATCTGAAGAGTAATCTGTGAAAACTCTGTCTATCTTTGATGTTTAAAAACATCAATGCTAAGTCTCACTCACATACTACTCTTCTCAATCTGACTCATATCTGATAGAAAAATATAAAAAGATATCTCAGTAATAATATTAAGTATATAATTAACAGATATATCTGAAGTATAATCTCTGTGAAAACTCTGTCTGTCTTTAATATATCAAGACATCAATATTAAGTCTTACTTATATATTATCTCATTTAACCTAATCTATTTTCAGTAGAAAGATATAAAAAGATATCTGATCAACAGTATTTAATACATAACTAATAGATAATAATAACTATAAAATCAGTATATCTCAAGATTTGACTAAGTCTTTGATTTCTGTATAGTGAGATATATTAAATCTAGTTTTAATATCTTAATATTTAATAAATTCTGTAAGAGATTGAGAACAGAAACACTAAATTTCTATTAAATTTATAAATTAACTCTATATTAATATAATTATTGATAAAGTCTTCTATTTTAAGAGATAAATAATCAGTTTCTCTACATTCTGCTGATAATATTTATATTATTATATAGAAACAGACTTATATTCTCTATATTATTATTATTCTTCTTCAATTATAGATGTATGCAGTCAGAGACTATGACATCTACCTGAGAACTTTTAGTTCTCAGGGTTTTTTCTATATCTGTAAAGTTAACTATTATACATTCATCAATTTCAGATATGCAAAATCAGAAAATTCCAGCTCAGAATACAAAAACTGTTTACAAATTGCAGTGTTTTAACATCTTCTGATACTTTGAAATCATTTGACAATATCATAACAAAGGAAAAGAGAACACAGTCTTAAAGATAGACACATTAAATTATTATTATTATTATTATTATTATTCTTCCATTATACTCATATGCAAGCGGAGCTTATGATGAGTCCTTGCGTGATGTTAAATACAGGTCAAGTGTTGGTTATACAGGAGGAAATACAGGTGTTGAGACCACGCCAAGATAACAAGAACATAGGAAAATACAAAGGAGTGACAATTAGATACATGCAATAATAACTTCTCAGCCCAGGAACATAGAGCGATTCATTGGAGCGATTTGTACACCTCTGTATTTATTAGGAACCTGAGGTGCTTGAGTTCCGGATTTAATGTATCCCCTGCGGGTTTCAAACCCACGCGCCTTGGTTTCCCACGCCAAGGCGCTACCAGGTGGCTGCATTAACCATTCGGCCACCGGGGCAGACACATTAAATAGATAGATAGAAAGAAATTGAAAGAAAAAGATAAAGTAAAGAGAGACTGTAACAAAACAAATTATTAAAAGATAGTATATAGCTGTTTTAACAGACTATATCTGATTGATTTCCTTCTCTTCATATTCAGATATTTCTGAATTTAGTCATTTTCTTATAGCTGCTTGAGTTTCTGATAGAAAGTCTATTAAGTATTTAATTCCTGTCTCAGTTGAGAATAAGAATCTCATATTTAATTGATTTAGATCATACTTCTCTTTCAATCTGGCTCTGAGACTATTGTATAATGTACAGTGTATTACAATATACTCAGAATTCTCATTTGTATTGCAGAATGAGCATTCTATTAAGTCAAATCTATCATCAAATCTTTATATATAAGATTTGAAATAGTTATATTCTAGTTTCAGCTGTATTATAGATGAGAATATTTTCTTTTTACATTTAATTGAATAAGATTTTCACTTGGATTTTATTTTAAATCTTGAATAATGTATACTCTTCTTTTATTTCTGCTAGCTTTCATTTCACTTATCTAAATAAGATTCTTTTATTTTTCTCTTTATAAAAGATCAGGACATAATTTTATAAATAGATCTGCTTAATTCTGCACTCTTTTTTACAGCTGAATCAGTCAATTCATTATCATGAATATTCATATAAGCAGGAACTCAGTGTAGATGAATTATCAGCTTTAATATTCTTCTCTTTTGAATTTTTAAAACAGAGTTTAAGATCAGTTTAAGATTCATTTAATTATTATAAATCTGACTATTTCTAAGTCTTTTTAAAGCAGCTTGACTATCAGAGAATATTTATATCTCTTTCAAACTATTTTCTCTTTTATAAGATTTTATTTCAATGAGTTTGAAAGCTTTCACTATTATAAATAGTTCAGTATCAAAGACTTCAGATTCACAGTCTAAATTTCAGAAATGTGAGATAAAATTGATATTATTATCAGTATAAGCAATATCTGTATCTAATCTATTCAAATTCTCATTTTTGAAGTCATCTGAATAAATCAGAATAGAGTCTTCTATATTAATTATAACAATTCTCTTCAAATACTGTTTATATTCTTTCTTCTTAGATAGTTCACTTATTTATAAGTCTATAAGAGATTCAAGTCTTTCTCTTCAAGAAGATATCTTCTCATGATTAACTTTTTCAATATTTAAAGAAGAAAATTGATTTTTAATCAGAGAGTATAGTCTATACAGTTAAGAAGATATTTTCTTTGAAGAATTATTTTTATTTTAATCAAGAAATCTATTTCAATTCAGTTCATTTTCAGAGTTAATTAATGAAAATGAAGAAGAGACTCTTTCTCTGATTATATAATTTAAGCTCATCTTTATAACTCTCAGAGTATAGTTCATACAGGTCTTTTCAAATCTAATAGCAGGAGAAGGAATTGAAGCTTCAATTTTCATTACTTTAGTAGAAGATGATTTGAATGCTCTCAGAATTCTTCTCAAAGCTCTGTTTTACAGACTTTGAAAGAGTTCAGTAAAATTCTCTTAAATATTTTATCAAACTTGAACTTCATAATCAGCTACTGATGTAATACAGACTATATATAACTGTCTCATAGTCTGAAAGAATAGATCTCTCTCTGTATTTAATAGTCTGATTATATTATTTAATAGTCTTTCTATCTTGACAGTTCTTTGTTGAATATAATATTTAAAATTCAACTTGAAGTTTAATCATACTTCTAATCATTTGACATTTACACTGAATTTAATCTCTCTATTTAAAAGAGTTAGAGATAGTTCTTTCTTATTGAATCTAGAAAAGAAATGAATTAACTCAGTTTTATTCATATTAAATTGAATTTAATTAATATCTGCTCTAATAAAGATTTTCTTTGCAGCTTCTTCAATCACTTTCAAATTCTCTTTAATAGTTTTTGAGCTGTAGACTAGACTAAT